GCTTGTATGCTGGGGGGGGGGGCAAGCAAGGTAGAAGAGGGTGGGGGTGGGTACACCGGCCTTGGTGACCCCTGGCCTTGGGCTGCTGCCACCCGTTCTGCAGGGGGGGGGGCTCTGTCTTTGAAGCCGATCAGACTGCATCCGCACATGGGGGGGAGGAGGGAGGGGGGGCCTGCATTCTCCCCAGCCTTGCCACGGTGACTATGGTTGGGTGTTTCTTTGCCAGTGAGCCCCTTTGAGCAGCCTCCCTGCGGGGCGACAGAGGGGCGCCTGGTAGCTTCTGGAGCGGGCCCATCACCCTCTGCGGGCAGCCCTGCTGGAAACGTGGGGGGCGAAGCACATGGGAGAGGGCCTCCACTCCCCCCCCCCCGGGCCGCCCACCCCGGGAGCCCCCACCACTGCTCTGTCATTTCCGCCCACGCTGCTGTCCTTGGGGTGCAGCTGGGACTTCCAGGTCTAAAGGGGGGGGGGCGCAGGGCGGCCGTTAGCTTATTGCCGATGGGCCCCTTCAGTCTCCAGTTGCTGCTGCCCTTGCCCGGTTTGGCTGAGGCCAGTTTTTGTTGAGAGTCACGATCAGTCCCTTTATTCTTAAACTGTCCTCTTGTGACGTGCTCCGAGTACCCTGGAGGAGAGCTGGACACAGAGATTCTGTTCTGCAGAAGCCAAGTTGGGGGGGGGGGCAGGGCTTGCTGATCTTGGCAGGGAGTGGCTGCCCCCTTCTTCACCACGCCGGGGGGGGGGGTTCCAGCCCTCCTCCCCGAGCTCCCGCCCTCCTCAGGTCCCTTCTGGTCTGTCCCAAGGGGCACCATCGGCTCTGACTGGCAGCAGCTCTCCAAGAGCAGGGAGAGGCGTCCCCGTCAGCCCCCCAAGGGAGATGCTGCCGCTGCTGCTGCTGGGGGCCAAGCTGGGGACCTTCTGTGCACCCAGCAAGAGCTTTGCCACGGAGCCACGCGTGACACGGCCTACCTGAGCTCATCATGTACTCGCGGTAGACGGGCAGGTGGAAGAGCCCGCTGAGGAGGCCGAGGTGGGACTTGAGGCCCGGGAAGGTCTGTGAGAAGCCGGTCGCCTCCGTGCAGAAGGCGGAGAAGGCCCCGGCACAGATGATGCCGTGGGGGTGGGAGCCCAGCACGTAGTTCCGGGAGGGGGGCAGCTCCGCCGTCTTCACCAGCTGCAAGTCAGAGAATGGGGTGGGGGCCCGGCTGACTGGCCCACGCTGAGCCCCCGGCTGCACCGGGAGGACCCCTGCACCGACAACGGCCTCCCCCGCTCGCGAAAGAAGCCACGGGGGAGGGGCAGCTGCCCCCAAGCTCTGGCCTGGCCTCCCCCTGCTGGCTGGCTGGCCCCCCCCTGGGCTCTGCCCCACCCCCCGCCCCCCCTTGCCCTTCTTTGCCAGTCCAGGAACTTTGCCCATCAAGCGTAGGCGGATGGTCTTCTGGGACAGTGACCGTCTCCCTTCTGTGCTGGCCGCAGGTTAAGACCCCGGGCGTCGCATCGGCACTGAGCCCCCGTGGCTCCTACCTTGATGGGGAAATAGTCCCGGTGGAGCTGCCAGAGCCGCCACCTCCTCATCCAGTCGCTGCGGCGGCCACCTGCAGAGCAAGGGATGACGGGCGGGTTACGGTCTGTGGGGTCCTTCTGTCCTGAGGAGGTGCCCGTGCAAGGCCTGCCTTCTGGACCTCCACCCTTGCCATTTTTAAAAATGATCTATTGTATTATTTTAAATGTTTTCTACTGGTTTTATGTAAGCCGCCCTGAGCTGGCCCTGTCTGGGAGGGCAGGGGTATACATTTGGGAACAAAAAAAGGAAAGAAAAAACCCACCAGCCCTCAGGAACATTTTATCCACTATCCTTATAGCACCAGTTTGCCTTAACTTGCGTCAGCTGAAACGGCGTGCACATTTTATTGCAAACAAAAGACACTGCTGATCACGAATGCTGTTGTTTGTAAATCTTCTCCTTTAGCCCAGAAGTGGCGCACATCTGTCAGCGTCTCCCTAGCCTTGTCTCCCGTCCACAACAAGGTATCTGGACGCCTTTGAGCAAACAGCTGGACCTGAAGCCTGCTGTGGGTTGACAGGTTTGGGCAACGCTCTGAAGCAAAACAGGGAGGTGGCTGAGTGAGAAGGTGTCTGTAGGCGATGTGGCAGGAGATCTGGGAACAGAGACACCGCCGGGCTCAGGCAGCTTCTTGTGGCTGAAGGTGTCTGGAGAAGAACTGTGCCGGAGGTGACAGGAGGGGGAGGGGGAGGAGGTGGTCAGGCTCACCTGGACAAGGGAACATGCCCCTGAGGACTGTGGAGGGACTCGGGGAGTCGGAAAACGACAGGTTAGGAAGGAAACGGACAATACAGAGGGGACGTTCCGCACGGAGAGAAGGCAGAGCCCACCCCACAGCAAGGATGGAGCCCCTGGAGAGGGGAGGCCTCTGTCACCCCTGTCCTCGACCTTTGCCCTTCCTGGGTAAGGGGTGGGGTGGGGGGGCAAACGCTTCCCTGAGGGTGGGCATTGTGCCGCCCGTACTCTTGGAGGAAGGGATTGGACCTGTAGTGGAAAAACCCTCTCTGAAGCCCACCCGGGCCCATGGGCACGACCCAGCAGGACCCTTCTCTTATGTTCCTACATGGTGCTTTGCATGAAGACAGATCCAGGCAGGTCGCCATGTGGGACTGAAGCAACAGGGCAAAGTCTGCATCCAGAGGGGGGCACGTCGAAGACCCACAGAGCTAAATTAATTAATTAAACTTTTTTGGCCTTAAAGGTGCCACTGGACTCGGACTCTGCTCCGAAGAGGACAAAGTCAGCAGAAGGGTCTCCCGTAGATCCGGACTCAGAGGGCTGACAGGTTGTCTGGCACTGAGGAGAAGGGTTCGGGACGCTGAACTATTCAGAATGGTGAGAACAGTGCGAGGAGCTCCACGAGGCCGTCTCCAAACTGAGGGGGGGGGCAAGGAGGCCGAGGAGGGCCAGCCCCCTGGGACACCATTCAACACGCAGCCACTGGCAGGGGTGTGTGTGTGTGTGTTTCGGCTGAGGCCGGAGAGGCAGGGGAAGCAAGGGCACCTGGGGGCTGGGTGAGGCCGGCAGAGCCACACTCGACCCGCAGGTGCCGCTGGTCAGGGGCAGGACCGATCAAGGAGGGGGGTGGGGGGATCGCGACTACCCTGGTCGGGGGGTCTGCAGCAGGATCAGTGCTTGTTTTTTATTTATTTCATTTATACCCCGCCCTCCCCCGCACGCGGGCTCAGGGCGGCTTACATAGGCACAGCAGTGCAATAAAATACAGCAGGATTAAAACAGTTAAGGCACCCAAAGTGTGATAAAACTAAACATGTTAACCACTTAAAACAGAATTCATATCTTCCAGGATACATCAGCGATTAAAATACTCCCTCATTATAGTATATCACAGTGAGATCAGAAAAGGGGGGGGGGATGCCATGGGCCAGGCTGTTCCGGGTGGCTCATCAGCCCATCCCGGCGGAACTGCTCTGCAGTCGCACGCTGGTGGTAATAGTGGCGGCGGCGGTTCCTACTCAAAAGCCTGGCGGAAGAGCTCCGTCTTGCAGGCCCTGCGGAAGTGTAAAAGGTCCCGCAGGGCCCTGATCTCCTGAGTCCGGGAGCTCATTCCACCAGGTAGGTGCTGCCACCGAAAAGGACCTGGCCCTTGTGGCCGCAAGCCTGGCCTCTTTAGGGCCCGGGGTCACTAGGCGGTGTTGTGACACCGACCAAAGTGCTCTTTGGGGCCTGTATGGGGAAAGGTGGTCCCTCGGGTATGCCAGACCCTGGCCATGTAGGGCTTTAAAGGTAAGCACCAGCACTTTGAAGCGCTAAGGAAGGGGACCAACTGTTGCACCAGCCGTAGATGATAAAAGGCTGCTTTGGCAGTGGCCGCCACCTGGGCCTCCATCATTAAGGTGGGGTCCAGGAGCATTCCCAAGTTCCTAACCTCTGAAGCTGGCACCAAAGGTGCCCCATCGAAGGCCGGGAGTGGGAGCCCCAATCCCATGCCACCCCGGCACAGGACCTCCGTCTTCGCGGGGTTCAGCTTCAGCCGACTCAGCCTGAGCCACCCAGCCACGGCCTGTAAAGCCCGGTAAAGATCTTCTGGATCGGAGTCCGACTGGCCGCCCAACATCAGATAGAGCTGGGTGTCATCAGCATATTGATGACACCCAAGCCCATACCTCCGGACAATCTGGGCGAGGAGGCGCATGTATATGCTAAATAGCATCGGGGAGAGTACTGCCCCCTGGGGCACTCCGCATTCAAGCAGGTGCCTCCGGGACTTCTGCTCCCCTAGCCCAACCCTCTGTCCCCAACCTTGGAGAAAAGAGACAAGCCATTGAAGGGCGAACCCCTGAATTCCCCACGTCGGCAAGGTGGTGGGCCAGCATCTGGTGGTCGACCGTATCAAGTGTGGCCGACAGATCTAACAACAACAGCGCCGCCACACCGCCTCGATCTAGATGTCTACGGAGGTCGTCAGTAAGGGGAACCAGCACAGTCTGTGTCCCATGCCCCGGGCGAAAGCCAGACTGGAATGGATCAAGGATGGAAGCGCCATCTAGAAAGCCCTGTAACTGCATCGCCACCGCCCTCTCAATCAGTTTGCCCAAATAGGGCAAATTGGACACCGGCCGATAGCTGGCCAATTCAGTCAGGTCCAGAGTTGGCTTTTTCAAGAGAGGGCAGACCATTGCTTCCTTGAGTGCCTCGGGGAACCGCCCCTCTGAAAGGGAGTTGTTGATAATCTCAGGCCTGCTTTAATGAGCCAGGAGAGGCACGGATCAAGGCTGCAAGTGGTTGGGCGCACAGAAACAAGCAATCTGTCAACTTCCTCCAGGCTGAGCCGGTCAAAGCCCTCAAAACCCGGTGAAGCCTCAAGTTAACTCACTGTCTCAACGGTGGCGGGGAGGTCGCAGCGGAGCATCAAGACTTTATCCGCAAAATAGCTCGCATAAGCCTCGCAGCCAATGTCCAATTCCCTACTATTTTGTCCGCCTTGAGGCAGAGCTGTCAATGATCGAATCGTTCTAAATAATTGGGCCGGGCGTGAGCTAGCGGACGCAACCCTGGCTGCGTAGAAATCTCTCTTCGCAGCCTTGACTGCCATCTCATAGGATCTCATAAACGTCCTATAAGATGCTCTTGTAGCCTCGTCACCAACTTGGCGCCACCATCTCTCTAACCGTCTGAGCTCCTGTTTCATAAGCCGCAGCCCCTGGGTATACCAGGGGGCCAGCTTAGAACGAGGGCGCAGAGGGCGCCGGGGAGTGATCACGTCGATGGCCGTAGAAAGTCGGCTATGCCAGGCATCCACGAGCTCATCCAACGAGCCGCCAGGGGGCATCGGATCCCTCAGAGCCATTTGAAGCTGCATTGGGTCCATTAGGCTCCGTGGGCGAGCTAAAATCCGCTCACCGCCTAAACGGGGTCGGGGCGGGACATTTGCACGAGACATCAGGGCATAGTGGTCTGACCATGGTACCACTTTCGCAGTAATCTGGTCCACCGTAATCCCTGACGCGAAGATCAAATCGAGCATGTGCCCAGCCTGATGCATGGGGGTCGATACCCATTGGGAGAGTCCTAGCGACGCCCTGAGCATCACTAGGTCCGTAGCCCGACCTGAGGTCACGTCATCGGCATGGACACTGAAGTTGCCCAAGACTAAAAGCCTGGGGTGCTCCAGCGCCCAGCCTGCTACGGCCTCAAGTAGGGACGGCAGGCTACTGGCCGTTGCGTTAGGCGGGCGGTACACCAGCCAGCCAGATTGCCAAACTCGCCTCCAGCACCAGACCGACACACTCTAAGCCCTCGATCTCCACCGTAGGGAGTGCCCTGAAGGAGTAAGCCTCTCGTACAAATATCGCCACTCCCCCCCCCCGCCCCCTAGTCCGTGATTGGTGCAGGACCGAGAACCCCGGTGGGGCCAGCTGGGAGAGAGCTACCGTCTCCCCTTCCCGTACCCAGGTCTCGGTCACGCAAGCCAGGTCAGCCTGTTGTTCCGTGATGAAGTCCCCAAGGACCATTGTGTTACTCTTAATAGGCCTGGCGTTGCACAGCACCAATGTCGGAGGGGGGTTACTCATCCAGGCCCCACTGCCGTCATCCTTTGGGATGAGTCGCAGGCTGGAAGGATGCCGAGCCCTTTTGTTTCTCAGCACCCCCCTCCCATACTCCACGACCTGGACCCACCTCTGTACTTTCCCCTCCGCTAGGCCTGCCTCTTCCTGGGGAGGGGTCTGGGGCCCAGCTCTGCTTCCGTGAGCGTCAGCTGCAGCCATCCTTGAGACGCGGGACCTGGCCACACCTCTGCCAGGCTGGACTACGTCAGGGCCCTCTTACGATTATGCTGGGCCACCTTTGGACCTCGAACGACACGGGTGCTGGAAAGGCCTCCACTGGCGACCTCAAGCCCAGTTCAAGGTACTGCATTCTTCCCGCTAAAGCCTTCGATGGGCCAGCACCCTGTTCGTCTGCTGCAGGCAAAGAGGCCGCGTTCCATGGTGCCTTAGTGTTGGGTGTTACATGTTAAAACACTTTTTCAGTATGTTTGTTAAGTCACATGTTTGTTTGTATCCAATCTGTTTTAGACAGTTAGAAAGCCTGGCAATTTCACAGCTAGTTTGTTGTTCTGATTGGAGACCAAAGTGCCAAGTATTGGCATTTTATGGCTTCTCTTCCCGTCTTGTGGTTCTTTGTTCTGAGCAAGAAGAAGAAGCCGGCCATTCTGCCATTTTCAGTCTAGCTGTAAGGATGTAGGCATATTAGCTCTTTGTTATTTTACATCCCGTGTACCTTTTCCCCATGCTAGGCTGTAGTAAACTTTTATTCTTTTAAACACACCATGGACTCTGCCTCTTTGATACTCTGCTGATTTACTTTAAAATTAAGAATACCTAACACTTAGAGACTCCACAAAGACAGGAGAGCTTTTTGTGAGCCAGAAACCACTTCGCTGGGTGCGTGAAGTGTCACACAGAGCCTGGGGGTGCACACAGAAGGAGGGCAGGGTGGGGAGGAGGTGGCGATGGAGAGGCACCCAAAGGCCCAGCAGCCCAAGTCTTTGCAAAGGCCAGAGGCAAGCCAGATCCCGTCTCAAGGGGACGCGCGGGTCTTTCTGACTGGGTAGCACCAAGGATCAACACTTTTCCTGGAAAATGAACCTACTGGCATGTGGGCGGTG